GCATGTACAGAACCAAGCATGAAATTAATCCCTGCCTTCCGTGTCCGTGAGCTGTGGCTGAGCAGGCTAAAAGCTGTCCCTGGCTTCCTCACGTGTAGTTTCTGAGAAGATCCTTGCTGCACCTTAAACTCCTTGCAAGTGAGCTGCCTGCTCTGTGGTTTCCAAATTCTTGCTAAGTTTTTTGAGGYTTGTTTCCCAAAACAGTCACTCACTTCCCACACTCATTGTTTCATRTGATCTTTACAAAATGTGGCATTTCTGTCTAAATAGTTTGCCAGAGACCTGTGATAAACAATACTAAGTTGTCAGTCATGAGTCATGAAAGAAGTGAACTAYCTTCACTTCATGCCCAATCATAGGGTATTTTTAAATGTCAGAGCTTTTGGCTTAGTGGTTGTCACTGGCTTCATTTTTGGGAGATCTAAAATTAGAACACAAGGCCTGGTTTTCAGAAAGTGTCGTGTACCCTTACTTCAAATGTTATTCCTTAAACACATTTTCAAAATATGCACGATTTCCTCAGGATCACTCAATGCTCTGGAATTTCTGACTATGATGCATTTCTGCCATCCTTCCTGGTTTTGTACTTCCTAAATTGGTTTTCAGATAACATTCAGCCTGGCAGTAACACATRAAGAATATAGGGATAAACATACTTAACAATTTGAGAATGCCGTATTTAGGTTTGTAAGTGTTTAATTGTGATTTGCTCTTGTTGGATAACTTTTAAAAGGGTGAAGTTTTACATTTGAAAATGAAAAAATAAGGTAGGCATCATATTTTCCTGCACATAACTGATCTCCTCAGTTTATCAAGATAATTGCCATTGGATTTAATAGAAGTCTTATCTGTTTAATCCCATTTGAAACCCACCTCCTCAAATAAGGGAACAATCCTCCTTGCAACAAATGCAAGACCACTGTATCTTATRTTACCAACAGTTATTTTTATTTTCAGAATAATTGTTTCTTTCTRAAAAATGGCATGTAGTGTCAATGTCTTTGGTCAAATGTCCAAGAAGAAATTAAATGATCAATCAAGAGAGATGTGACTTAAATGGTGACATAGTCAGCTTTTGCYGGTGGATTCCAGTGTAACCTCAGCTTGATGGGGATTCTCCAGAAGCAGGAGACCACGGTGTCGTAAAAAGAAAATCCATCTTTGTACAAGGCTTGCTTAATTTTGCATCTCTTTGCACCTTCCATCAGGTAGCTTTTGATGCCAGCTCAGCATCAGAGCAGCCCAAATTACCATGTGTGCTCCTCCCAAACTCAGCAAGGCTGTTGAATTTCTGTACAAGCACAGAATAATCCTTGATCTGAACCATGTCAAAACTAGAAATGCATCCCAGTGCCATGGACTGTCTGCTGGACAACTTTTGCAATGCTGCAGGTCTTCACCATCACCAAGGGATTAGTATRTAATCTACAGCTACCGTGGTGCTGACTTTCTGGACCAATCTGCTCCCACATTTAGCTACTGGATTCTCCCAGTGGGACTAAAAATGTACAGGAGGTGATGATTTGTCTAGCAGGAAAAAGAATTAAAAATAATAATAAAGCAAAGAGAAGACAATAATGCTTAAGGTTTATCTGTCGTAGTAAGGTGGAGAAACAATCTGAATGTTTTTTGGAAGTCTGCCACATTTGCTTTCTTAATAGCCTCCTCTCATTCTTTCTGYAGGTCCAGCTGCCCAGCGCCAGATCCAGAATGGTCCATCTCCAGATGAGATGGAAGCACAGAGAAGGTGAGTAAATCAGCTGTGGCAGAGTTCTCGTTTGTAACTTGGATGAGCATGCAGTCCTTGTTCACCAGTAAGCACTGCTCTTTTTACTTGTACATCTTTTCAGCTGGTGCTGAATGTTTTGTACTTATTGCAAATTATTCTCTAATGACTTTTAAAGGCAAAGTGAGCTGAAGGTCACACTCTAGGTAAACTCTTTGCTTGGTAGGTACTCAAAAGTCTTCCTGTCTTCAAAAGCTGCAAGAAAAGTGTAGGGAAAATAGTTTCCTTCACCAGTATTACTAACTATGAAGGGTCTGAGATTTAGTAGGGATTTACTCGTGACTGTTAAATGGGTCAGCAGTGATGATATTTCACCTGAGATTTACTTTGGATAGCAGAGTTATCMTAAAGGTCAGAGAGCCCCTGCTCACCCCAAGGCAGACGATGTCACATCTACCACTGCCTGGCTGAAAAACCTTAACCAGCTCTTCCTTTAACCAGTGGAGCTCACTGATTCTGCAGGCCTTATGTAATTCAGACCTCCAGTCTGGGTGTCTGTTCTGTACGTTTAAAATGTAAATGAGAARCTTATCTATGTTAGAATAGAAATATTTTATTTATTCTTTTTTGTTTAGAGACAGTACAAGCCTTTTGGGTAGTACTTTGCTATTATTTGACTGCTACAGGGCACATGGCCCTAGGAAAGCTTCTTTTGCTCCACTGGAGTGGAATAAAATATGCCAGTAGATGCACTTAGATATAACTGCATCTGCACTGGAGGACTTTCATCTTTAATTATGCTGATGCATTCTTTAACCATAYAGCAGACCTAATTTTAGGCCTAGGGTTTGGTTTTTTTAATATCTTATAAGCAGGCAAGGAAATTAAGCTGTGGTATCAATCCTGCAAATTTGTCTGTTTAAAAGGTTTTCTAGAGACCTTTACACAAATGTTGAAAGAGTATCTTTTTAAGTCAGAGTGTAATTTGTCCTCTCTTGTTCTTTACTCCTTGCATACTTCTTAAGTAGCCTTCTGCCAATCCCAGGCTTTATTTAKTTCGACTGGAATAAATTTGGCTTCCTAGGAGTTTAAGAACTTCTCCTTTTAGCATGTGTGGGAGGGTGCATTTGGCACATATAAACTGCTGCTGACCAAGGGCAGAAAGGGCTGGTATGAGCCCCAGTGACTTCCAGTGACAGTGGCTAATCCCTGTTTTGGGCTTTTGCACCCTGCACCTCAGTCTGCTCTGCAGCAGCTCTAATGACTTGGAGATGTCTTAAAAATATTTCTTTCCTGGTCTGTCACACTGGAATTTTCCAAGTTGGTTCTCTAGATAAACTTAGAATTTCGCCTACGTTTAATCAAGATAAGTATGTATCAAGTTGTTCTTCATCATCAAATTTTGCTAATAAATGCCAAACTAAGGTAGAGGACAATATGCTCAGGAAATTCTTAATACAYGTGTTTACAATTGAAATTTAGCAATGCAATTGATTCTGTTGCATATGTGCTCAGACCATAACAATCAAGAAAGAGTTAGGGTACGTGTTGAAGTACAGATTTCTATTAATTTKATTTAAAGTGTCATAGCTTAAATGTCACCAGCTGAATCAACCAGTTAAGACTTTCTGAAATCTGTTTCACCTTTGCCCATGTGATAATTTTCTCAGAACCAATAATTTTCTAGAAATTGCATGTATTGCATGTCCTGAACATAAAATCAGTTTAGGATTGATCCCTCCACAGCAAAATCTTGTATTTTCCTTTCCCAYATATTGAAATAGATTTGAAAGATGGGAAATACATATTGCAAGTTAAGATACTTTCTTTTTTCTACATAATCTAACGTTACTTTTATGGACTATATTTTAAAAGCTCCTATTGGTATATAAATAAGATAGAATTGTTCAGCACAGCAGACTCAGGAAAGCACAAGTAAAAATGTAACAGGGAAGTATCTTAAAATACTCTGCGAGGAGTCAAAATAGAAATGTTGCTTAGAGTCAAAATAGAAATGTTTCTTAGAGTTTAAGTTTGCTTTACTGTACAGACCATGAAGTAAAGGAAAAGAGAAAACTATGCAATGAACACTGGTCTAAACATGCATGAAACAAATTAGGACAAACTTGGCCTAGGAACTGGAAGAAAATGGTAATAAACTTTATTACYAAGTGCTTCAGCAAGGTAATTTTCAGAGCTGTGTTTTAATATTGTTGAAATCTTTAGTCCATGTGCATGCTCTTGCCAGGAGGCCTGGCATGCAGTCTGGTTTTTAGCTATCAGTTTCTTCAAGAGGAGCCAAGTGAGGGTGGGTTTGTGGCGGGGGTCAGGGACATCCCTTCCTGCAGGAGTGCTCCAGCGTGCGAGAGCAGACCTCTGCTGATGGGCCCTTGGAACTGCACATCCCTGCAGATTGTACCAGACCTGGGGACAGCCAGGGCAGCACCGGAGCTGGCAGCTCCTGGGGGAAAGGTGCCAAGAGAGCAGCAGTGCAGAGCTGTGGTCTGTGTTTGCAGAGGAAGCACAGTGGTGCTGGTGCTGATGGTGGTGCTGGTGACACAGGGACAATTGTGCAGGGGCTGTCAGCTGGACTGGCCAGTGCCAGAAAGGGCTGGATGTGCACTGGGACAACAGAGGCTTTGTACAGTCAGCAGCAAAATGCAGATCAAGCTTTGCTATATTTTTGTTCTGACTACAAGTGCATTGAGCTGCTGATCCATGAAAGACTCTGGACTGTGTCATTTTGAGTATTCCCTGGAGATAGATATTTAACTGTCTGGACAGAATCCTGGGGATTGTGCCCTCCAGGGGATCCTGCTTGAGCAGGGAGGTTGGGTTAGATGGCCTCCAGTGGTCCCTTCCAGCCTCCTACAATGTGTGATTCTGTGATTTTATGTGAGATGCCACTTACCCTCTCCTTGCAATGCTCATACACTTCAGGTTAACAGCAGGTTTGYTGTGCTCTCCTGGGCACTGGACACTGCAGGTGTTGGTTGATCCATTTAAGATAACGCCTCAGTGGCTCTGTACAAGAACTAGGCGGTGTCCAGTCAAAATTATAAAGAATACCTGATGACCAAGGGTTTTCTCATTGCTGTTCTAGACAAGTGATGGAGCAACAGCAACAGCGCCAGGAATCTCTGGAAAGAAGAACCTCTACCACAGGCACGTATCAAATCGAGCCAATGCAGTCTCTCCGTGCTTGTCTCCTCTTGCTGTTGTTGGGGTTTGTGGGGTGCTGTGCAAGAGCTAGAGTGCTAAAGGTGGTTATAGCTACAATTACATTTTAAAGATTAGATTTTCAGCTAGAGACTGACATACATTTGGGCATGGTTGTGCTATTTTGCAGGGGCTCAGGTCTGGGACATGCAGGTGGGGCTACAGTGCAGGTTTTGCTCTTGGCAAAACTTGTACAGCTGAGGGGTGTTTTAGGTGTACCAAGGAGGCCTGGCCATGCTTCTGCCACACCCATGGGGAGAGCWGGTGGCCCAGCCACCACAAGAGTGACTCTGTGTTTCCAGGGGATATCAACACCAAGGGGTTGATGTACTGGATGTGCTCAGGAGTCCCCATTGCTCTGCAGCACGAAGCAAACTGCAGCACAGAGGAACATACAGCTCTAGATGCTCTTCATTGGGGATTTTGTGATCACAAAGTGTTCTGTGAGCTTAATGGAAAAAATATATATATTTAATGAGCTTACAAAAATCTTCTATAGCATATTAAATTGCATTAAGTTGAGAGAAGAGATGACAGGAATAGTTTATAGCTACAAAGTATGGCTTTGTCTCTCTGAAAGGAGGCAGAGCAAGCAAGCCAAGATGGCCATCTTGTGTTTGGGCTTTGGTTTTGGGTAAGGTTTTTTTCAGTTAATCGGGCCACATGAATGAAATGGTTTTCCTCAGCTGTTAAACTGTTTAGTTTTTTGACTAGAAACCAGCTCAGACATACACACATRCCTTCAGTGGCAGAAAGAGTTGGACTTTCGTTTCATCAGAGGTTTGTGTGCTCTTCTGTATAGGGAACTTAGCCAAAATCCTGCCTTGGGATACACAAGGAGTGGATGTGGCTCCTAGGGGCTGCTGGCTGTCCCCTCTCTGCCTACAAGGTGGCCACCTCTGTGTGAACACATGTCACATGTCCCTTGCACCTGTCCTGGTGCAAAGGTGRTGCTCGTGATCCTGACTCAGATTCACGTGGGGCTTGGAGGAGCCTCGCTGGCACCAGAGCATGCAGCCCATCTCGTGCTGCCAGGCTTCTGCTCCACACACCCCTCTGGTCCTGCTGAGGGCTGGAAATCCCCAAGCTGGTGCCTGCACCATCTCCTCTTCGCTTTGTTTGAGTTTCTGTTTGCATTTACTTCACGGTTCCTTTTCCTCCGTTCCACTTTGCCTTGGTATCATTCCTTCCTGCGTACCCACCTTTTTCTTTTYATTTGTCTTTTCTGTTCTTTTAGTTTCCACCCTTCAACCAAGCACATGCTCTCCCCCCTGTCAGCCCCAGTCTCCTCCTCCTGCYTCCAGTAACTGTGGTGCTCCAGCCTCTGGTGTTGTGCTCCCCCCACTACCCGAAGCCAGCACTGTCTCTCCAGYACCCCTTGTCCCTGAGCCCGCTGGTCAGTTGCCTTTCCTATCCCAGCACAGAGCCGGGGARCCCCTCCAATTCCTGCCCAGGCACTCGGCCTCTGAGCTGCCAACAGCCCCAGGTTCCTCCCCTCCCTCCTGCCCGAACGGCAGGACCGTCATGCCCGGCATCAGGCGAACCTCGCTGTCTCCACCGCCTCTCCATCCTTCCCATCTTCCCTTTCTCTCTCACCAGCCTCTCAGGGGCTCTTCTCTTTCCTGCTCTCCCCAGTCTCCTGCTCCCTCTGCCACAAATGCACCGTCTCTGCAGAGAGGCGATGTCCTGCAGCCACGTGGTCCCACCATCCTGCCCATGATTCCCACCCCACCTGACAGAGTCAAAGCACCCACAGATAAAGCAGGGTGGGACACCTCAGCAAATGTGCTCCTGAATGGCCACCCTGAAGAACAAATTGCTTTAGGCCCCGCTGGAACCCAGGTGAAAAGTGTGGATGGGCCCTTCTTTCCACACCTGGGAGCTGCACCCTGCCCCCCGCTGCCCACCATCGCCAGCCCCCCCAGCTCCTCCAGCCAGGCTCCCTCCCCGTCCTCCCATCCATCATCTTGTCCTGCCCAGCAGTGGTGCCAGCCCATGTCACACTGTCTTCCATTGCCTCCCCCTCACGCTGCTGTGTCTGAGGTGGCTATGCCCAGGAGGACCCCTCCTTACATGACATCATCAGCCATTGCCCACTTGAGTAAGTACTGATTTTGAATGAGTTGCGACCTGTGTAAAGCCTCAGCTRTTTCAAAAGCTTGGTTGGCACTGCCCCTGACCTATAGAAAAAGGGCTGAGAGACCCACAGCTGCTCCTGCTGTATGTGATTTCTGAAACTGGGGTGAAAAAATATTAAAATCACTCAGAACTGGTCCAGGGACCAGACAAAAAGTAAGAATTACAGAACCAGGACCCTGCMGCTGCGTGGTTGCAATGCATATTCCTACTGTATTATCCCAGACAGATTTTTGTCACTCAGCAGAGTCAAATTGTTTCAAAAAGCTTCATATAGAACCAATTTACGCCTGGTCCAAACATAGCTCTTCTGAAGCCAGAGGCCAGGTCTGCAGTAGGTTTCTTGTCTGTGTAGGAATATTGGTAGARGTTGTGATTTTCTCTCTTTTTGTTAAGTGGTATTTCTGTTGCCAGTGAAACATAGAACATGGATTTTGTTTAAGATACACAGAATCCCCTGAGCTTGTGCTGTTAATTTAATTCAAGAAACTCTCTTCCTGCTATTCACTGCCGTTAGAGTTGTGAGCTTGTCACTGTAACTATTCCAGCAAACTTTTTTCACTGGAGGCAGATCAGGTGCTTGGGTCTGGCCGCATTGCATATGGTTTTGATTTCTCGTGCCTATCTAAAACCTGTGGTGTGAGAGCAATTGCAAGCAATGCCTATTTGCAATTCAGAGCATATGTTTTGTGACTTGGATCTATTCAGGTTTATAACCATACATAATGTTAAAGTGGTGTGCCTAGAAAAATAAGAAAATTAAGACACTTCATTTTATTTTCTGCTCRAAGTATTACTGTAACCACTGGAGGCTCAGTCCTTCAGCTGATATAAGTCCTTGAAATCCACTTTAGTTCAATAAAGTTATTTTRAACTCACATCAGTCCATTATTTTGACTCAGTTCAATTTTTGCCTGAGGCTGGCCTCTAATTAGGTGGGTGTAGTTTTGCAATTACAATTAAATGTACCCACAATGAATTACTAGCTATTATGTTCATGAAGAAAGAGGGCTTGAAATGTTTAAAGTATTTCTAATAGCAGCTATGGTTCATTTCAAGAATGGAATTGGGAGTGTGAAATAATGGCAGAAGTAACCACAGAAATAAGGCAGTATTATAAGAAAATCTAGATAAGAAGAAAAACAGACTGTTAATATTAAGTATAGTTTCTAAATGTTTGTCAGTCAAAACCCTCCTGCCTTTCAAGGTAACGCTTACTGAAAAACTGAACCTGTCAATATATACCAGGAACAGCCTGTTCTGACAGAGTGTACACCGGGAAATACCCTTGGGGAGGCRTGTTTGTTCAACTGACCAGTTACAGACAAGTAAAACACTGTGGAGTGACCACCAGCAGCCCTTCCAACAGGAGCTTTGCTGAATTTTGGGGTGCCTGAGCCAGAGTCTCCCCTGGTTACTCTGCAAAACTGGCTGAGGCCACACACCTTCTGTATGACAGAAGGAGGACGTGTCACCGTAGCCCACAATTCTGCTGAAAAGCTGACGTTAACTGAAGTCCACGGAGTTTATGTCCATGTAGAAAGCTGAGGGAAAAGCAGAAGAATACATCACTTAGGAAYTGGGAAACGTGTCTGCATTCTGATTTTGGCACAGAACAAAACACTGGCCCAGACAGGGAGAARCAGAGGGAGAAGACTGTCAGTGATGGGGTCTCACAGGAGGACACAGCTGTAGCTGACTGACCATTGATACACCCACCTCTTCCCATTCCTCCACACGTGGTGCTTCCTTTTGTTGCTCAGCTGTCCTGGAGTCAGGCATCGGGAGCGGGAGCGTGACCTTGTCTGTGGGCTGCAGGAGATGCTGCTTCCCGTCTAATTCCTGTTCTCTGCATTTCAGGCCCAGCGCTTCCGCCTGGCCACCCCAGTGGTGCTGTGATCCCCACTTCATCTGGGGGGCCCCCACCTCCGCCACCCCCCCCAGTCCCTCCACCACCCATGGGAGCCGCGCCCCCTCCGCCGCCCCCGCTGCCGGCCGGCGCTGGCCAAGGGGCTGGCGCTGAAGATGGGTCAGTGTCAGGGCTCGCAGCAGCTCTGGCTGGTGCCAAACTAAGGAGAGTTCAACGGGTAAGGAGGTGCCACTGGGACTCCCTGATGGGCTCTTCTCTGCTGCGGGAAAGCCTGGCACAGCTTGGTGTAATGGTTTGCAAACCCAGCATGAAACATGGGGAAACATGCTTCAGGTGATCATTGGGTGAACTTTTAAATGTGAGTTTGCAGTGCAAATAAGGCTGAGCAGGAGAAGTTGGGTAGAGTTTATGCTCTTCAGAACATATTAGTTAGCAAATGTGAGTTCCCACACTGCCAGKACGTCATTACTTCGACATAGTCCACTATTGTACTATGTGTTAGTGTTTTCACTTGTTGCAAGTGGTTAAAACTACACTTTACTTACAGAAACCAGTGTAGACCGTTGAGGCCTCGTTTCAGTAGCTGTCCACTTAGGTAAGGGTTGCTTAACCCTGCATAAACATAATTAKGAACAAACAGCACTGTGGGTTTTTTCATCATTTGCCCATATATTTGTGCCACCCAGATCTGTCTTGGTTTTAGTAGTGTTTCTGTGGATCTTCTTCCCAAGGCCTAACACATCCWATCTCTGGTTTTGGGCTGTGATTGTGATCGCTGTTCCTAACACTTGGAAAAACTAATCATTAAGGGCGTGGTTGTAAAGCAAACCTTTCATTAATTCCAGTCTTGATTTCTCTCTTAAGCCAGAAGATGGTTCAGGAGGGTCCAGCCCCAGTGGGGTCTCTAAGAGCGATGCCAATCGAACAAGTAGCGGAGGAGGCGGAGGAGGACTAATGGAGGAAATGAATAAATTACTGGCAAAAAGGTTTGTACTTACACCTCAAGTAATCCCCATGAGATCTGCAGCAAACTGTGGAGCAAGGCACTGTCATTTTTGTGGCTGGCAGTAGGTGTTTCTTTGCAGTTTGACAGGTCCTGCTTAGATGTTGGTCACCGATATTGCCCGACATTCAGTGCGAAAGGTGTTGCAGCAATGATTCCTGGCAGGGCGTAGCTGCAGCAGCAGATCCTGCAGCTTAATGCCTTCAGAGCTGGTGGTAAATGCATCCTCTGGGCTTCAGCCATTTTATCAGATCTATTTTCAAAGATTCTGTTTTCACTAAGAGCAAACAATGAAAGGAACTTAGACAAATCATTCTTTATGCAGCACATTCAGGGTGTTGAGCCAAAAAATATAAACACAGGTGAAATAAAAGGACAACACCTTGGCAGGTAAACTGTTATTGATTYTCACATGTGTTTCAGACAGACTAGCCAAGTTATTCTCCACTAAAGCGAGTTGTGATGTATCAAGCTACCAGCTTGTAAAAGCCAATTGATAGTTCCAATTTTTTTTTCTCTTTTCTCCCAATTCCATTAGTAATGTTCTTTCAGACTCTCAAGTTCCTAGCACAAGATGCTATATTTTTAGATCTAAATTTTTTAAACTTATGGATAACGAAAGAAAAGGGTGAATAAAATAATGAAGGGTAGGTACAGTTGTAGAGTTGGAGAGATGGAGTTTTTAAATAATGTCATCTTCGTTTAAAACAGTTCCCAGCTCAAAAGACCTGATCCCAACTTCCCTCCTTGTTCTGTTCATTTCAGAAGAATTCTGAACATGGACTTTAGATGTAATCCTTTGAAAAGTATTAAATAAATACACAACATTCTTAAAAAGTTCCCAGCAGTATAAAATAACAAACAGATAATTTTCTTTCTTTTCAGAATTAAAGCAGCTTTTAATAGTTTTTTACTGCTTCTTGGGCTGCTCTGTATCACGATTGACCTTCTTGAACTGGAAATTGTCTGTGAGCATAGCAAAGTTTGGTGACTGGATGCTGGGGTGACTAGCACTGTTCGAGCAAGCAAATTGAATGGACATTTCAAATATTTGGATGTAGAAATTCTGCACACTTGTGTGGTTCCAGTCTAAGGTGTATTCCAGTTTGCCTTTGGGCAGTAGGATCTGGTGTCTTCAGGTATTTAGGGTGGAATTGCCCAGGTACCTTAACAAAAGCACTTGCACTGCTGTAAGCATTGTGCTGCCTCTACTCTGAAAATAACTGTGCTGCAAATCCTTCCCAGGGAGTTGATAGCAACAGAATTTTTCCCTAAATTTTTCTTCACAAAGCTATGGAAGTACCTGGAAATACACAAGTGCCATTCAAGGGTGCAGTCTGGGCACATGCTGTTAAGCTGATACTGGGAGGACTTCTTTGGGCTGCAAATTCTTTTTCAAGTGTGATGACWAAGAGAAAGGAAGAACCTGGCACTGTGTTTCAGGTTGTTCTCACCTGCTTACTTACCTATTCTTACCAGGAGGTAAAAAAAATCTTGGTTTTTTTTTGGTTTTTTTTTGGTTTTTTTTGGTTTTTTTTTGGTTTTTTTTTTTTTTAATTGAGCATGTTCAATGCAGAAATCTCAGAGTAATGAGCACAGGATCTCAGGGGCCTTTTTCTGAGCAGTTAACTCTGTGCTCAAAAACAGGGAATATGTCTAATGCTCGGTAAATAATGGAGGAAAACACTTCTGAGAGCTCAGGTGCTGTAAAATACCATTCACTAGATTTAGTGGGCCCCATGAGAGCAGCCCTTTGCCTCAGGACTAAAGTGCAAACAGAATAAGTCTGTTGCAGGATATAAATCTAACACGGGCCTCTCACCCTGGCAAATACTTTTCTCACTTAAATTTGTAGTAATTATGACTTTTTTTTGTTAGAAAATTCAAGTAAATATTAGGAAAATACTTCCAAAATTTATCACTGATCTAGTAAAATGATTAATGGAGTTGAATATCCAGAAATAATTCCCACAGAGCACTGTCTCCTACAGTCACATACTGCTCAGTTTGTTTGGGTTTTTGTCAAATTTTCATCAAATCCTCCAAATTGTGTATCCAGTGAGGCTTTTCTCAGAAGCCTTTCTTAGTGCCTCTTTAGTTAGAGATTTCTTTTTTTTCTGAGTTGAATTTTGTTCACTTCAGAACCAAGACTAAATGAAAAACCTGCAATACTGGTGTTTTACAAAACATCTTCTAAGGTTAGTATTCACACGTGGGTAAGAGTAAAGTTCAGCACAACCAAAGTCCATGTGGACACTTGAGCTGCAGTTCCCCAATAGTCCTAAAATGGGAAATTGGATGTCTAGAGCCTTGCCACCTGGTTCACTGGAGTACTGTTTAGTACCCAAATCGAGCTTAAAAATAAAGAATTTGATTTTATTTTCATCATCCAGTTTGGCTAACACCCAAGAAGTTTTACCATGCATTTTTCAAAAATAAACAACCCACATCTTTGTTTACTTTCATGTCCAGTTTCYCCAGTGGATGGATTGCAGCTGTTTGCCCCTTCTCAGAGAGTTTTGCCCCTCCTTGGGAAGCAGAAATGAGTGTGGGTCTCAGGTTCTCACTCAGCTTCTGTGGGCACCTGGGACTACAGGGCTCAGGAGCTTTGCTGCCTTTGAAGTGGTTTTGAGACAGAAATAATCTCCTGTCATTCACCAAAGGCACTTGAAAACCAGGCAGGTGGGCTTGTTTTGTTTTTCCTGGTCTCCAGGCAGAGCTTTCCCACCCTGGAGGGAAGAAGGGGTCTTGGCTGAGCAGAAATGGTGCCTGATCTCTCCCAGTGAGGGTGGACCTGGCTTGAAGGGCTTTTTTGACAGTTTTCCCATCATGTGGGAGCAGAGCCACAGCCCTTTCTCTGGGTGGGATCAGGAATGTGGGATATAGGAAGGTGACAGACTGATAGTGGAGCTGGCTGACAGCAGTGTTATCACTGCAATACACACCTGAGCCACCTGCTGGGAATGGGGTTGGTCCTCAAAAACTCCTGAGCGGGGTGAGTTGTTCCTCCTGTGTAGGACCCAGGGCTTCCTGAACCCTGGAGAGAAGCCATCCCTTTCTTACCCTTTTTCATACCCAGCTGTGCTTCCTCCCTCCACATTTCCTTATGCTCTGCACCCTGCGTTCCTCTGTTAAACACCACCCAAAATATTGCCCCTCTCCCTGACCTGTGTCACTGGGTCTGGATTCTTCCCCTCCACCCCAGTCCTACACAACTGAATGTATCCAGCCATTGTTACGTTCTYTTAGAGATGAGCTAAATAAATAACTCCCACCAAAGCCTGAACCAGTCTTCCCACGAGGATGTGTTTCTAGAGGGTTGACTGTGTCCTATCTCCTGTTCCTTTGCAAAGGAGGAAAGCAGCGTCGCAGTCAGACAAGCCAGCTGACAGAAAGGAAGAGGAAAGCCAAAATGTAAGTGAAACTCCCTCCCTGTTGTGCTCTCGCAGTTTCCTTGTAAGCCAAAGCCCTGTGCTCCTTCACTGTGTCTGGCAGGCAATAACAAGCAGTGCTCATCCAGGAATTGACATGCACATTCAATCCAATGCTGAATGTAACTGTTTCCACCTTTCCTGGGAACAGCACCCTGTAAACAAGAACAGCTGCTTTATTCATGGGGAAGGTATTGTCCAAACCAGGTTAATGGGCACTGTTTCATGGTCTGATCCCAGTGTTGTAGGGAACAGGAGATTCTGGCCCTGTAAGAAGGTGCATTGAACCTTCTGGCCCGTTAACTTGAGATAAAGTTCGTGTTTCTTATTTTTGGTTTGAGGCTTCAGCTAAGCTGAAGTGGAGCATCAGCCCTGCAGTGTAATTTTGGATTGCCAATCTCTATGCAAAATGAGACTCAGCTCACTTTAGACCCCAGAGGGCACAGGGACCATGTCTGTGAGGGAACAAGGGGAAACCGTGTATTAACCATTAGAGCATTCAAAAGTCAAAATAAGTGTCCATGATACCTACACTAAATTGATATAGAAT